ACCACAATTTCTGTATCCATTCCTCAATTGAGGGACATCTGGGTTTTTTCCAGGTTCTGGCTATTATGAATAAAGCTGCTACAAACATAGTTGAGCAAATGTCCTTGTTGTATACTTGAGCTTCTTTTGGATATATGCCTAGGAGTGGTATAGCTGAATCTTGAGATAGCACTATTCCTAATTGTCTGAGAAAGCACCAGACTGATTTCCAAAGTGATTGCACAAGTTTACATTCCCACCAGCAATGGAGGAGGGTTCCCCTTTCTCCACAACCTCCCCAGCATGTGTTGTCACTTGAGTTTTTGATCTTAGCCATTCTGGTGCATGTCAGGTGAAATCTCAGGGTCGTTTTGATTTGCATCTCTCTGATGGCTAAGGACTTTGACCATTTCTTTAAGTGTTTCTCTGCCATTCTGTATTCCTGGTCCAACTGGAGTCTACATGCAGAAAAATGAAAAATAGATCGATATTTATCACCCTGCACAAAATTAAAGTCCAAGTGGATCAAAGACCTCAATATAAAACCACACACACTAAATCGGTTAGAAGAAAAAGTGGGGAAAAGCCTAGAACTCATTGGTACAGGAGACAACTTCCTGAACAGAACACCAACAACACAGGCTCTAAGATCAACAATCAATAAATGGGACCTCATGAAACTGAAAAGCTTCTGTAAAGCAAAAGATACTGTTGTCAGAACAAAACGACAGCCTACAGACTGGGAAAGGATCTTCACCAACCCTATATCTGACAGAGGGCCGATATCCAGAATATATAAAGAACTCAAGAAGTTAAACAGCAACAAATCAAGTAATCCAATTAAAAAATGGGGTACAGAGCTAAACAGAGAATTCTTTTCAGAACAGTTCTAACTGCTTCCTAATATAGCTTTCAGGTAGCTCTCTCTTCCCCACCTTACCATTTTCTCACAACAGGGCGCCTCCTCATCCAAGCAGGTGGTCTGCAGTATGAATCTGATTGCTTCTTAGACGTCCCCTCCCCCTCTGCCCAGGACCACAGCCACCATGCCAGCTTCCCACAGCTTTCCTGAGGCTGCAGATAAGCAATTATCGCTTATTTGGCCATTGCCACTTGTTCAGCTGCTTTCAGTTTCTGAAATTTTACTGTTCCTATTCTCTTTGTCTTTATGGATTAAAGAAAAAAGCCCCTCTGGTCATTTTAATGAGGTTTCAAGAGAAAATGGAAATTACAAGACGGTGTTAATTCTTTAACAGGAAGTACATAATTGATTTAGTCTCCTCTAGAGACAATTTTCCACTTAAAGCCAACTAATAAAAACATGCCTTTCCTTCTAGTTCACTTTTCTTACCTTCATGAAGCAAATCAATTCAGTGATGAGAAAAAAAAAAACCCATAAGTCAAAGCAAGGCTAAGGTTTTAGTCATTGGTGGGGAAAAGTAATAGAGATTGGAGGGAAAGATTTTTTTTTCCTAGAAGAATATGGCATTATTTTATTGATGTTTACAAATGTTTTAAAAACAACGTTTATGATCCTTCTTCCTCTACAGGTCCCTGCTCAGCTCCTGTGTTCCTGACCACTTGAGAAAAGCTGCTCACTTACATACACTCATTCCTCAACAGCTTGTCATTTACTACTTCTTGGTCTTACTCATATGGTGTTCACACCCTGCCTCCTGCACCACCTTGCATGATCCAGTTTGTAGCTAGCATCTTGAGGTGGCACTGCTGAGCCTGACTGAACAAATATTACCACCCCTAACCCTGTCCCAGGCTCCCTTTTCCACCTGCTCACCCCAAGCTGAGGTTCCTCTATGGCAGTACTTCTCTGTGCAATGCTCAACTCTGGGTCTTTCCCTATCTAAAATACACATTGTTTTTGTTGTTTCAGAAAAGAATCTGTCTTCTTCCTAAGATCAAGTATTCCACCCCTTTTTTCCTCACACTTTCCATTTCCTAACTCTGCCTTTAAAAATACGTGTGTGTGTGTGTGTGTGTGTGTGTGTGTTAACATCTTATCCTGTACTCAGTATTTCATATTCTCAGGGACAGAGTTTTATTGTTAAAATTTTCCTTACTCCCAATTCTCAGTGCCACCAGCTTCTCCTGAAAGAACAAACTGCAGACACCTTGCCAACCATCAGTGCTATTCCCATAGCTTACTCTCCTGCCCTGCAAGGCTCTATCCCCCTAGGGACCTGCAGACTGCCAGCCCATCATGGCTGGAGGGTTTCACTAGGGAGAAAACCTGCCTGCCAAACTCCCTCTCCACTTAACACCAAGGATACATTTTTCTCCCTCAACATGTGCTAAAGCTCAAGGAGCCCAAGCCAAGGAGCACTTCTGAAAAAGTGATTGCGGTGCATGCCGGCCAGAATTCCTATTGCCACTGAGTTGTTCAAGCGAAATGTTATCTAATACAAGCATAAATTTATGTTTAAAAGGTAGAGGTACTGCTCAGCTCTTTCTTAGAACATTTGGTGATTTGTACCTTCCTTTCCAAGACTGAAGTTCTGTAAGCAGAGTAATAATTACTTCTAAAGTAAAATTTTACACAGATGTCTTTGAACTCAATACAAATTCTTCATATGATCAATGACTATATGTGTTCTTTTTTTTTTCTTTTTCTTTTTTTTTTATGTTCTTACACTGACTGTAAACATAAGAAATGAACGACCAGGGCTCTAACTATTCTTGCATAGGTGGCAAGGGCAACCAAAAAGTAATCCTGGTTTGCCTCTTAGTATCTTCATGCCTAGGGCACCTGGAGCCTGACACAGAGGTCATTCTCTACTCCCCACCAGAGTAGTTCCTGGATTGTGACACTCTGCTAAGTATAGCAAGAATTTCCTTATCAAAATCAAGCTGAACAACAAAAGCCCATTATAGAAGAAATTATTAAATTTCACGAACCAGTGATTTTGCAAAAACTGACATAATCAAATCATTGAATTAATAAACAGTTTCTGTTTAAAATTCCACAAAACTCAAAAAACTCATACATGTGTTTAACAGAATAGTTAATAAAAGTCAAATCACATTTTGTTAGTTAACATTCAAACCACCACTCTGCACAGAATGTTACAACAGATGTCTTGGGTAAGATACGGAGTGTAACAATATACAATCTTGGTGCTGTAGGATGCTACCCTGTTAAGAAGATGGAATACATTAATAAAATGCACAGTAACTGAAGTTCTATCAACGGAGAAAACAAGTGGATGAAAGGGTTGACAAGAATGCAAAGCCCTAGACTCATGAAAGGTCTTCAGAAACACTGGGCAACTTCAAGGGTACTGTAAGCTGGCAGAGGATGATGGAGAGTCTTGTGAAAATGTGATGAAGTAGAATATGCAGGAAAAGGCAAGAGGCAGGACAGTCTGATGGTGACTAGTTACTTCCCTTCCTCCTTCACTGCTTTCCCAAGCACTTTATCAACATTGCCAGTAGCCCCGGTCTGATCCTGGCTTTTAAAGTTCTCTGTACAGAGTTGTTTAGCCTTTTAGCTCTGTTGCCCTGCTGTTTGGCTCCAAACATCAATGACTGCATCACTTCATGAGTGAGCTGAACTGCTCACACATCAAATACTCAACGTTTGACTATGAACATTTTCATATCTTCAAATGCATGATTTGAAGATTCTAGAAGGATAAAACCAGACTTAATTTTCACATTTTGGTATGTACAAGCTACCAAGAGAGCCCTATGCATACAGAAGTATAAAATATTTATTAAAGGGAAGAGCAGATGGAATATGGTGAATCTTATATAATATTGGCAAAAAGGTAGGAGATTTGGTTGATGGTTAAAAGATCAGATTTGCATGCAGACACCCTGGGTAATCTTATGCATGATTCTGTGTAGGATAATGACATGCCAAAATGGTATTTGGATGGATATTGTAGGGAGAACTAGTTTGGAAAGAAGTTAAAAACACCATTTTGCTAACAGCATTTTACTGAAAAAAGAAAAACAAGATGAGAATTTGGGAGTTTGTTGATTAGTCACAAATATGAATATTCATTAAATAAGCACCAAAAAGTTTTACACGTCTTTCTTTTCAATCTACTTTAATTTATTTATGAAAAAGTAACTTCTAAAAAGCACAGCAATTGTAAAAATCTCTTTATGTTAAAGAAATCTCAGTAGCATGGTCAGCCTTATTTAATACTTAAAATATTCTTCCTGTTAGAACCTTCAAACCTGATACTTAAAATTGGAGAACTGAAAGCACTGTATTTTATATTACAATATAAGATATTTTAAAAAATTATGATAGTTACAAATATCTACGCATGGCTCCGGATTTATGAGGGCTCACACTTGAGACTTTTAAAAACCCTGATCATGGGTGAAAGTTGAAAGCATATATAGTTAAAGTTTTAGTGCTGCCTGCCCACATGACAGTGCACAACTGTCTGTAATTCCAGTTCCAAGGGATCCAACACCTTCACAAACATACATGAAGGCAGAAACAGCAATGTACATGAAAGGAAGAAAAGAAAGAAAGAAGGAAAGAACCAACAAATGAACAAACCAATCCTTTGCTCGAGTCCCTCTCATCACATTACAAACTCACAAGTAGCTGACAGGGGATTTGACAGCAATCAGAGAACTGAGAAAGAGATCAATATTGGCTCTCAATCATAGCTTCATGTTAGAAATGCCTAGAGAATTTGAGTTTTGGAGATAAGGCCCCATATGTAGCCCAGACTGGCCTTAAACTCACCACCCTCCTACCCTAGAATCGCAAGTGCTGGGATTACAGATGTAAAGCATCATGCTCAAATCATGTGCGGATTGTTAATAGATAATGAATCTTCTAGCCAGCACTTTAGACCAACGATGATGTACCCAGGTGAATTCATTATCTAGGGTTGAGAAGCACTGACTTAGTGTTTTCTTTAGCCATAGAAAAATCATTGTTTTATTTTTCTTGACAGGGTATCAAAAAGATGACATAATTTTGAGGAAAACAGATGCTGGAATTACCTTTAGAAAAAAAGACAACTTTCACTCACCTGCCTTCTGACAATGCACGATCTTTTCATACACAGCGTCTGCATTTTCAATTAGTGCCTTGAGGGACTGAATCATCTGTAAGAGAATATCCAGACATGAGACCACACCTGAAAGCCAGGCTTCTTCTTGCCGCAACACAACAGACAAGTCTACAACCAGGCAGGCAGGGTGTTTTAGCTCCAGAGGCTCAGGTTCCCGTGTAGGTGAAAAGTTATAGAACCATATATCTTCACATGTTTAAATGACACTGAGTAGAGCTGCCTCCCATGTGTAGTGAGGCTGGTAGACACTGAACTTGCCTAGGGACAATAAATGAATGAAAAGTTGTAAGTATGCTCAACCTATCTTTTAGTTTAGTTAGTTTGTTTGTTTATCTGTTTGTTTTTTGAGGTTTAGTCCAGTGTTGCTAGAACTCATGAGTAGCCCAAATGGCTATCATATGGAACAAACTTCCCACCTCAAACTTTTAAGTGCTGGTATCATAAGAATGAGCCACTATGCTTGGCTTTGACCTGAGTTCTGAAATTCTCTCTCCTTTGAGTGATCATTTTAACAAAATGTTCAAATTCGTTCTATAAACAGCTCTAAAACTTGGAAACTCCAACCACTTTAAACAAAATATCTTATACAAAAATTTGATTAAAAAGTTCAACAAAGCTGGAGACATAAGGTAGTGGTAAAACACACTGAGCATACTCAAAGGCCTAGAGTTCAATTCCCAGCAGCAGCATGCAAGCATGTATGAGCACACATTGCAGGAAAAGGAGGAGAGGGAGGCGGAACCACACGCATCTTCTGATAACATTCATCAGAAACAGTATTAAACATATCCCATCTTCCAAAAAGGTTTCTATCACTGATGTTATTCAGCACCCGCCTGAAGGACCAGGAGTTACAGGAGTTAGACAAATTCCCTGGTAAGCAGGGGGAGGGGATAAGACTAGGTAATAAAGATGGTGAACGTGCAAGATGGCTGGGTTTTCCACACCCTTCTGACTTGAGACAAAGTGTAGACGCTTTAAAAATGGCCTTGTAGACGTCCTTCTCCTGACAGTAGAGCCCTTGATGATGGTTGACTGATTCAACAAGTTCAAGGCCAGATCAGGTAAAAACAGTTCTGGGCCAATCAGTCATAATGGTCTTCCTACAGACTAACCAACTAAATTAGGAGAGGAAGACCCTTCAGAGATTTTTTAAAAGACAACCCTGTTTAGCTCTGCACCCCATTTTTAAATTGGATTACTTGATTTGTTCTTGTTTAACTTCTTGAGTTCTTTATATATTCTGGATATTAGCCCTCTGCCAGATATAGGGTTGGTGAAGATCCTTCCCCAATCCATAGGCTGTCGTTTTGTTTTGACGACAGTGTCCTTTGCTTTACAGAAGCTTTTCCGTTTCATGAGGTCCCATTTATTGATTGTTGCTCTTAGAGCTTGTGCTGTTGGTGTTCTGTTCAGGAAGTTATCTCCTGTGCCAATGAGCTCAAGGCTCTTCCCCAGTTTTTCTTCTAACAGATTTAGTGTGTCTGGTTTTATGTTGAGGTCTTTGATCCACTTGGACTTTAGTTTTATGCAGGGTGTTAAGTATGGAAAATACCGAATGGCAGAAAAATACCTAAAGAAATGCTGAACATCCTCAGTCATCAGGGAAATACAAATAAAAATGACCCTGAGATTTCATCTTACACGCATCAGAATGGCTAAGATCAAAAACGCAAGTAACAACACTTGCTGGAAAGGATGTGGAGAAAGGGGAACCCTCCTCCATTGCTGGTGGGAATGTAAACTTGTACAACCACTTTGGAAATCAATCTGGAGCTTTCTCAGAAAATTAGGAATACTGATACCTCAAGATCCAGCTATACCACTCCTAGGCAATATATCCAAAAGATGCTCAAGTATACAACAAGGGCATTTGCTCAACCATGTTCGTAGCAGCTTTATTCATAATAGCCAGAATCTGGAAATAACCCAGAGGTCCCTCAATTGAGGAATGGATACAGAAATTGTGGTACATTTACACAATGGAATACTAGTCAGCAATTAAAAACAAGGAAATCATGAACTTTGCAGACAAATGGTGGGACCTAGAAAATATCATCGTGAGTGAGGTACCCCAGAAACAGAAAGACACACATGGTATCTACTCATTTATAAGTGGATATTAGACATATAATATAGGATAAACATAGTAAAATCTATACACCTAAGGAAGCTAAACAAGATGGAGGACCCTGGGTAAGATGCTCAATCCTCATTCAGAAAGGCAAATGGGACAGACATCAGAAGAAGGTGAAAACAAGTAACAAGACAAGAGCCTACCCATCAGGGAATAAAGCAGATGCTGAGACTCATAGCCAAACTTTGGGCTGAGTGCAGGGAATCTTATAAAAGGAGGAGGAGATAGACCGAGAAGGGTCTGGAACTCCACAAGAAGAACAACAGGAACAAAACATCTAGGTTCAGGGGTCTTTTCTGAGACTCATACTTCAACCATGGAGATAACCTAGAACCCCTGCACAGGTGTAGCCCATTATAGCTCAGTCCCCAAATGGGCTCTGTAATAAGGGAAACAGGGGCTGTCTCTAACATGAACTCAGTGGATGACTCTTTTATTACCTCCCCCTGAGGGGGTGAGGAGCCTTAGTAGGCCACAGAGGAAGACTATGAAAGACAGTCCTGATGGGACCTGATAGGCTAGGGTCAGATGGAAGGGGAGGAGGTCCTCCATTATAGATGGACTGGGGAAGGGGCATAGGAGGAGATGAGGAAGGGACAGAGGGCAGGATTGGAAGGTGACGAGGGTGGGAGCTACAGATGGGCTACAAAGCAAATAAATTGTAATAAATAAAAAATTGTATTTAAAAAGAATATGGTCAAAAATAAATTAAAAAGGAGAAATTTAGACTCTTCCCATACTTTAAAAAAAAAAAAAAAGACAACCCTGGAGAAGAGACCACACTTTTGGATTCCTAAGTGTCCCCCTATGCTTTCAGAGGTCTTTTTGTTTGTTTGTTTGTGTTTGTTTTTCTGTGCCTGCTGTATATGTATGCTTCTTCACCCCCACTAAAATATTTTCTTCAACTGGTAATTTTGTTTGCTGTGTTCAACATTTCTTCTCTGCTACTTGTCTACCTAAAGATTTTTCTTGCCTCTTAATTTTTTTTAACTGATAGAGAAAACCAACCTGATCAAGACATTTAGCCATGAACACATCAGTTCCTTTAAATTTTACCTTGTTTGTATTGCTTATCACTAACTGCCAGAATCCTTACTTTGTAACAATTAAATACACATAGATCAAATTATTTGTGTATATCTGTGAAAACCATATTTGCATTATTACATTTATTTACAATATACTCCAACATGTTTCTTAAGTGCACTAGATTTTTAAAGTCAGTCATAGAGCACTGATCAATTTCCTGTGTTCTAAGACACAGGAAACAGCTCCACTACTCACAGAGGGCACAGAACCACAGCCCAGCTTACACTCTGGAATTTAGAATTTTAACATTTGTTCTTCAAGCTCTGAGTAATTCATGTAAATTAACATATTTTGTTTTATAGCCTAACATATTGAGCAGGCAGTGTTAAAACAAATAGTTAAGAACTCTACTGTGCTGAAATAAAGTCACTTGTGCATTCCACAAATTTGCATACCGCAAAGGTGCAAGCCATCATCAGTAACCTTTGTTCAGCTTTGATGTTAAGACAAATGAGAGTTATGAAGAAACATGCAATTTTCTAAGCCAAGGACAGAAGTTGCCACAGCTCATTATCAAAGAACTGGTTAACAGTGGCCCATCGATAAAACAGGAAAAAGGCAAATACAAGCAATGAAATGAACCCAGTTATGAGGCACAAGAGCAAAAGGGAAGAAAATCACAGCTTCAACACAGGATCACTCACATACATAAAGTCTTGAGGCGGAAGAGGTGTGTATGTATTTATGAGTTCCAGCCTCATGCATCCTTTTATGAGGACTACATTAAATCTCTAAGAATAACTCCCTTCCTATAAAAGGAGCTTACTAGATATATCACACCTCACAATTTGAGGATTAAAATACTGCCTCAAGGTAGACACTTACAAATGGTGGATGTCACCGCTGAGTCTCCATTAACATAGGACGCCTGGCAGAGCATTTTCTTCTAGCTCAAGATTAACTGAATGAGTATGCCTTCTCTTCATATGTTCACTGGCAATGCTGCCAGCATATTACTAATGTCAGTGTTCCTTGAAAAGTCTGCTGTGTTAAAGCTCAGAGAACCAACAAACCACATTGCTTTTATCAGAAACACCTTCCAGGGAAAAGACCTTCATCCTACACCTTTCATTTGTAAAATGCATGCAAGGCTTGAAAAGTGCTTGAGAAATCTCAAAGGTGTAGACTGGAAAGTTCTTCTGTGTCCTATGCTCTGTAGTAATACACACACACACACACACATTTATTTTATTTACATACTCAGACACACACATATATATGAAGAGAGAGAGGGAGAAAGAGAGGAAGTTATATGTGTGTAGGCAGAGTGTTTTTTTTTGGCCCTGGAATGCCTGGAACAATCCTTTCTTGAGAGCCTTTGTGTGCTAGAATCTGAGCTAGGGGCTTAGGCGGAATGAAGAAATGCTGCTGATTCTGAGACTAAGGTAGGGAAAGAAGACAGCTAAATGAACAACTATATTGCACTGCTATTCTAGCCAGTGAGGTCCATCTGTGATGCAGTACTTGCTAGGCCCAGCCATTTGGTGGGCTGTGTAAGGACATCCATGCTGATGTGCACACAGGGGTCTCTGCGAGGGCCCTTGCTGATAATGGTAGCGAACATGTCTGACATTTCTCCTAAGCAGTGTACGAAGGAAGGTGATTAATACTCAGGGAGGAGAAGAGTCCGGTCTGTAAGTAAAGAGCAGCAGGTACACAAAGAACATGTTAAAAGGGAATTCTATAGGGAGTCATCCTGAGAGAAAGAGGCACACAGGAAACAACAAGCAAAGCTAGCAGGAAGAAAACACTTGCAGTCTTTAGCCAACACTTTACTCTGTCCCAGCTGTTAGCAAAGGTCTGCACTA